TGATCACAATACCAACATGGGCCAGTGAAGCGATGTCCTCCACAACTAGACTGAAGAACAAAAGGACAGCAACTTGTCTGTTCCCCTTCCCCCAATTTCCCAACGCTGTTCCCTCCCCTAATTCCTCAATAAAATCTTTAAACAAACAAACAAAAAACAAAACAAAACAAAAAACGTCTATACCCGCTGTCACTGCCAACCGCAGGACACATGGTCACCATGCTTAGGCATGTGGCCTTCCCGTCCTTCCCTGAATGTACACAGATGGTTCTTCCTCACAAATCAAATCTATCCATGACACATGATTACTGAGCAGCTTCCTTTTTGTCACTGAACAGCACGTCTTAGAGATCTTTCCAGGGCAGCATACACAGATCCACCCCATTTTGTCAGACTGCTTCACGGCATCACAAAGAAGAGATGCCTCAGGGCTTACTGAGCCATTCCCCTGCTGCCAGGCATTCTGGTCATTTCCAATAGCAGTCAACACCCTTGGACATGCCTCTTTGTGAGGTGTGAGCATTTCTCTAGAACAGACGCCTAGAGGTAGGGTTCAGGTTGCAGAGGAAGTATGTGTAAAAAAAATATATTAACAGCTGCCCTCCAAAAAAGGTTGCATGGCCTTACACTCGCCAGCCATGTGAGGCCATGCCTGCTGCCTCACATCCCCACCCCAACACTGCATACAGCCAACCTCTTCATGTTTTACCCATCTGGTAGGGAAGAGCTCATACTCTTCTCACTTAGCGACAGTGAGGGACTTAGAGATGAACAAGGATTTGAGGGCAGGAAGGGGCCAGAGTTCTGTGATCCAGCAAATAGAAAAATCAGAGCTTCTTGCCTGATGTTCCTTTATATCAACATTATTTTGAAAATAGAAGGCTGTATAAGGTTAATGAGAATGAGCACGTTCACTGAGTAACCAATGGCTACACTGCCATTTACCACTTGTTTCTGGGCAATACCGAGGAAGCGGTCCCCTTTGAGATGTGTACAGTATGATGAAAACAGCAGCAACTCTGAGCAGGAATTCCCCAAAATAGCACAGCTGATGACTGTGTGATCTTATAAAGAAGACTGAACAAGACTTGGACTCTGGCCCCTGAGCAGCTGCTCACCGCCTGGGCGACCTTGAGTGGCTCGCTTTACATCTCTGGGGCTCACTTTGTGATCGGATAAAGGGCCTGCAATCTGGAGGTGGGGCGAGACAAGCACATATAACCTAAAATGGGCACTGAGGGAATAATTCAGCTTGGAAAAGAAAGCCAGCGCAACCTCGACATGTATTTAATTTTTTTATGCCCTGATTTGCTGACAGCATCCATCCTGGCTAATGGGACAGGAGACACTTTCCTCTTTCCACCGAATGAACCAGGAAGCTCAGGCGCTTTGAATCTTTGAAGCTCCAGCGTGTTAAAAAAAAAAAAAGAGAGACTGTAAATTAACAGGAGTACAAAAACTGTGGTATATTTAAATTGATTACATTTACCGAATGAATACTATGTTGAACCTAACAAGTAGCAAGGTAACATAATTATATTATTCATAACATAAATACAGAACTTATTTTAAAATATTTTGGGTAGTACACTGTGGGGGTGTGGTCTGGTAATGAGCCGCGAGTTTAAAGTTTATTATGAAGGGCTGTTTCTTTCAGTCTTGTAGCTCATTTACAGAAAATGCCCAAAAGACTAAATCTGAGGCCGGTGTGAATGTGGGGGCCCGTGACATGTCGTAGGATCTCCCCAATTTCCACGTATATTCCATAAATGGCAGCAAAGTTGCACCTCAGATGTAAGTGTTCCTTTCTGATTCTTAATATAAAAAAATAATAAAGAATAATAAAACCTACCAAAGTCAATATAAAACTATTCACAACTCTAAATTCCGGCCTCACCAACACATGCTTTCCGTGTTTCTGTATAGAGCAGACTCCGAGCCACACCTGAATTCAGTATTTCAAGCTTTAATTTATCCAAAGGCCAAGTTCTTGTGGCTATTTCAGTAGTACACTTGCACCTGAGAACTATTTCTCTCAAAAAAAAAAATGAGTGTGGAGTGGAGAGCCGCAGGCCCAGCTGAGACGCAGCTGTGGGGACGGCAGCCAGGCTGCTCCTCAATCTAAAAGGACTGTGGATTCAGTCCCCCCAAAGTATAAATAACCCTGTGTTGTTGATCTTTGGTGTAACTTGTAAATAGTTGACACAGTAGATATTAGGTGTGTTTATGCCAAGACGCTAAGCCAGGTTTCTTTTAATGTAGCTGGGACTGAAATAGCTCTCCTGGGGCTGCTTCACAGATGTGCCAATTGTTGAATTTAGCACTGACGAAGGCTTCAAGATCTCCTTCACCTGAGCTACACCTCCGCCCATCCTTCTCCCAGGCAATCTATTTGTGTGCATCACTGTCTTCTTCTACTGGACCAAAGCTCCTGGAGAGCAGGAACCATAAACCCCCAGGCCACTCCTGACACTGACAGGCATCTGTAAACGTTTACTGAATGAATGCCTGCCTAAAAGCCAAAGAAATGCACAAACCTCGGTATGAAAACAAAACAAAAAAAATACAAAAAGGAAAGAATCCGCTATCATCCCTTACATGTAACTAATTTAATTTTCCTATATTTCCTTCCGGCTCTTGTGTTCATGTCTGTACATCTTTTAAATTAGAGTATGTCATCTTCCTTATTCTGTATTTTCATCAAATAGTAAATAATAGTGCCATAATTATCATAATTAACTACTGCTAACCTGTCCTATGGCCATGGTTTACTTACTCATTCCATATTTACTTCTCACACCGAATACATAATGAATTTAGAAATCTAGCTTTCCAGCGTGTAGCAGATTAGAGGCAACAAAATGCCAGACTATAGAAATGAAGAATGATGTTGGGGAACCTTGGCACAGGATCTGGTGTATAGTAAATATTTGCTGATGGATGGATGGATGGATGGACAAATGGACGAAAGATGAGCTAACTGCCAAGTAAATACAAAGATAAACAGCAGCAGAGAGCTGTGCAGAGTGCTGAATCCCAGAGCAGTGACGTGCACTCACGATTGTTATGGCATTGTAGAGCCACAGCGGACACTAGAAATAACCTTCGTACAGGCAAGGAAAGAGGCCTAAAGAGATGAATGAATTGTCTGAGATCCCACTGCAAGTCCAAGGCAGAACAATGACCTAACACCACACACCCTGACTCCTTATCTAGAGTTCAAGGGGTTTAAAAATGGCAGACCTCACCCTCCACCACACCCTTGGCCCACCCACCCCTCCTGCACACTGCCTGTGAAGAGCAGAGCCCCATGCCCGAGTCACAGTAGGAACAGAGGGCACTTCAGGAAACAATACGGGAACACTGGATGCTAATTCTTGGGCAACCCTGACGTGTTACACAGCCATGAACGTGTACCTCCCTTCAGACTGCGTGTGGCCTTTGTGAAGCCCAGAGTGAATACGTTGAGCCTATGCCATCCTTTTACCATTCCTTAACTTCTTGTAAGTGCTCAAAAAATCCTTATGGAACACATGTGTGCACATTTATTTTATCAGTATTGCATGTGCACACACCTGAATACAAGTACATGTATGTTTCCCACACTACTGCCTATTTAAAACCCTCGGTATGAAGGGCAGTTTATTCACAAGGTTGCTTCGCAATAATGGAAGCTTTCTTTCACATAGATGCTGCCGTGCAGACAAATGGGGCTTAGATGCAATGAACAAACACATCTAATCAGTAATGCTGATGCCCTTGTCTATAATTACTACTTAATCTTTACTTATTGGTTTATTTCTTACAAATGTGATCTGGCTTCTGGCCTGATGTTACTGTTCATCTAAGAAAGTCTGAATTTATAGATAGGTTTGGGCTCAAATTTATTTTTGCAGCTTTGGTTTTTAGTTTGTACAAAACATATGTTGTGCGTTTTTTTACACCTCCCATTTGAAAAAACAAAGTTTCTAGATTTTGAGCTGGAGACAAGATCAGAATATACTTGGGTATTGTGCAGTTTTTATGGGGAAGGAGGAAAGGTAGTCAACTGTATATTTAAACCCAAGCATAAGACATACACAAAAGGGGGATCCAGGGCCGGCCGAGTGGCGCGATGGTTAAGAGCTCGCTTGGGACGCTAGAGGGCCCCGGTTCGGATCCCACATATGAGG